ACAAGATAAAGTCTAGATTTCTGAACAGGGTATTCAAAGTTCCTGTTACCAGTCTCTAATCTACCTTCTCTCACTCAACAATCTCCTTTACCCATCAGCTCTTCATCCTGATGTTCTCTAACACACTCAAACCCCAGCTGCCTTCCATGAGCAGCTACCTCACATTCTCCATGCTTCATTCTATACAAATTCACACATCACCCCCCTCCTACTAGATCAAAACATTTTACTTCGATTATAGCATTTATTTATGTTACTGTTGGGCCTGATTCTTGTATGAATGTCAGCCTGTCAAGAGTTCAAGATCTGATAAATGAATGAGAATTCATCTGAATGAAGCAACTCTGAGGGAGAGAAAAAAGTTGATTCAAATTCTGCATGGTAAAAATTTTGTAAGTTTAATGGTTTGCTAATTTGGTAATGCTTCTGCTGTACAAGAGGGTTTCAAAAGTTCATGGAAATATCTTATTGTCTCATAACTCCATTTTCCCACAAACTTTTCAAAGCCCTCTGGTACATATGCTTTATATCACAATGATAATCCACGATATTTCTTGGTAGAATTCTTTCAGATCTTTTATCAAAAGCTTGTCCTAGAAGTTAAAAATGGCAAACTTCAAAATTAATTCATACTTTTCAGCACAGGCAAAATCTAATCATTACTCACTAAACTTATGTGGACTCTTGATGTGCTATATATAACTCCCTAGCCAGGTCTATTAGAATTTATGATTCTGCTAATATCGAATTAACTTATGAGACTGAGGAAATAGTTGTGGTAAAAATTCAAATAAATGAAATTTCCTTTCCTAAAGGTCCAAGGAAGGTGATATATTCAAAACTAACAATTCACAGGCATCTTTACTTTACATGCAGTAAATGTTAAAAAATTCAACTTAGGAGTATGTATTTTTTTTTAATTAATTTTTTGTGAAATAAGTGGGGGAAGGGCATTTACTCTTGTATGTTTTAGGATCAGTATCTATCTTTGACTGACAAACATGCTTCACAAATATACTAAATGTACTCAAGAGACAGGCAAGGAAAAGGCTACTTGGCACCCTTACTTCTTAAATGCCTTTTTAAAATCTCTCAGTAATGTAATTTCAAATACATGACCAGGACAACAAAAGCAAATGTAGGTAGGTACTTGACTGGCTCTGCTTTTTGGCATCAATTAACCATTTGTTTAATTTCCCAAACTTCCCTGTGTGCTCAGTACATTTAGCATCTATTAGGTGGGAAATTATTTCTTCCCTTTTCCATCTCCTGGCTAAGATTCTTGTTAAAACCTCTGCTGACAGGAAACTCACATTAATAAATGATCATTCCTACCGTACTGATTAGCAACCACTTCCTTACCCTCACCTCAGAAATTCAAACAAGAGCACAATGAACCTGTCCCTAAAAGGCAATGGCCAGCAGAATCCACAGGCGAATGTCTGATGAGTCCTGAGGAAAGCAAGGCTTCTGAAATGGCATGTGGGTGCACCTTCCCTTGCTGCCACTGGGCTTTGGGAAAGTCTGTATGACAGCCATGCTGCGTGGTAATTACCCATGTATATGCCTGTCATTGGTGGTGTTCTCTGAGCACCTTCATGCGTTGGATTATGTGTGGTTTCACTTTGCAGCTCCTATAATAAGCCGAGTAGGAACGTAGTAGGTCCTCAAAAAAAATGTTTAGTTAAGTGTTTAAGAAACCCTGTCTCCTAAGCAGCGTTAGGGCAGACCACAATTCAGGGTATATTTGAAACTAGATGGCTAACAGTTCTCTCACTGTCTCACAAATGGACCCACTAACTTGAGTTTTGTTCACTTATCATGACACATATCGTTAAAGACAGCAAATATGTCAAATGGACGACTTTGATAATCTGGCTAGTCTTTTCAATGCATAGACTATTTTAACCCCATGCTCATGGTATTTTGTTATAAAACACTTTGCAATGTACAAGGAACATAACTGAGCAGTTACTCTCTCTTATCAGTGTACAAGTACAGAAAGCATGCCTTCTGAAACGTAACAATTAAAATCTCAGCTGACCAGTGTAAATTCTAGAGATCAAGGAATGCTGAAATTACACATTTACTAGGTATTTTTCTACCGTTCCAGACTGTTTGATCATGTGCTTTAAAATTAGTTATTTTACTTTTAAGTAGCTAAGACCAACGAGTTTGGAGTTTGTTTTCACATTACCATGTGTTTTCGCCATTTCTGGTGCACTCATGTAAATAGCAAAAAAATACATATAATGCACATAAGATACATAGGGCACTAACTCAC